GAAGCAGGCTCCCCGCAGAGCAGGGAGCCCAATGCGGGACTCGATCCCAGGATCCTGGGATCATGACCTGAGCCGAAGGCAGACGCTTAACCGACTGAGCCACCCAGGCATCCCTCAGACTGGGAATTTTTATGTGTTATTTCTTCCCTCCAACCCCACCCCACAAAATGCCACTACCTATTACTTACTTACTTTGAGCAAATCAGGATTTTAATCATTCCCTTTTTCCTTGATTTTTATCCTCTGAAGACCTGCCTGCTGCATTTGCCACAGTTAACACACAGAAACTTCACTTGCAATGAAAGTCATACTTCTCTTGGTAGCCTGTCATTTCAGCATTTTGAGAAGCTAAGTAGCTCTGTCCTCATTAAATTAGGCTCAAATTGGAGGAGAGAATTACAAACTTGAAAACACGGACACAAAATGATAGATTAATGTTATACCTTAATATAACACATGGTGACATGCAGTAAGAGCATTAGACCAATTAGCAAGCAAGTTTTCTACTCGGGTTCATCTTTTCTGCTGGGGAATGTAGCAAAGGGATGGTGATTTGAAGGATGGTATTTATCATACACCCTTGGGTAGAAAGTTACCTCTTTAGTGACATGACCTGCATTCATTTAACGAAGATAGCACCCATCACGTGGTAACACAGCGAAGATCCAAGTGCTACGCCAGAAGTTCTGCCTCCAAACTGACATTTACCCGTCGGACTTTATTTCTAGAAATCATTGAAATCCGTTCTAACTGGGTCTAAATGGGAATTTTAATATATTCCAAAAATATATTCTGCTCTTTTCTTGAGAGCTACCAAATCATAAGTGATGCCATTTAGCAGGTTTGTTGGTTTGAGGTTTTTTGTTTTTTTTTTCCCCCTCCCCCTTTTCTGGTCTCGCTTCCATATCAGCCTGATTGGTAACAGAAAGGAGAAGGAAACAATAAATCTCCCGGTTCCTCCTGGTGTGAATGCCCAATATACTGTCAGAAGCAAAATGTATGGGAAGTGGGGGGGAGTTTGGGTCAGCAACTTGGTGGCAGGGGCGGTGGGGCAGGGGAGGGGATGGTTTTCTGCTGTGGTAAAGCAGAAAAACCCTATCACCGAATTTAAATTAACAGACTCTGCCCAGAGGGGAGCCGTGGTCTTTGTGTGGCTGATTAATGTCAGCCTTGTAAACGCAGTGCTCCAACCACAGGGCTAGCCAGCTGAGCAGGAAGCTCAGAGAACACAGCATCTCCTGCCTGGGGATGGGAGCAAAGCCCGGTGCCTCCGAATAGGGCTGGAAGAGAAAGTGGCAGACCGGGAACATAGGTGATAGTTTTAATTAGATTCCAGCTGTCTGTCCCAGTGAAGGAGACACAAGGCAGCCTGAGAGGCACCTTCCCTTCAGGCATTGCTGCCACAAAGAGCAACATTGTGCGGCTCCAACCCCTTCCTCCCCTCCCTCGGCTCGTCCCAAGCGCCACCGCCGTCAGAACAGTGAGTTACAAATCCTAAATGATCTCCGGTTCTGAAGAAGCAGCACGTCCGGGAGCACATCTCTGGAAATCCTGAAGGGGCTTTGCCTGGGGAGCCCAGGACTTTGTCCCTCGTGCTTGCCTGAAAATGCTAGTGGCAGCGGGCAAATCCGTCCGTCCTGGGTTTCCGCCTCAGCGAAGTGGGTCTTGTAGTTGTCAGCAGAGGCTCAGATGAGAGACCCTGCAGGAATTTCCTGCCCCATCTTATCGTTGGTGAGAGTGGTTGGTGTTCCAGACGCTGGGCGTGGAGGTCAAATCCGCAGGCAATTTGTGGGATTTGAAAACCTGTGTGGTGCATTTATGTCAGTCGCCGATGTGTTTCCATAAACCTGTGTTTGTGACTTTGAGAGGTGTCCTGAGAGCAGCTAAGCAGGCAAGGCAGCTTCTGGGGCAACACAACCAGCTCGGACACCCAGCCAGGGTTCATGCAACCCTATGTCTATTCACCCCCGGAATTGTTGAATAATTTAATCTTGGAGCCACCCTGCAAAGAGCCAGAAAGCATCCCTGAAACCTCTCCTCTGGGCCTTATGTCAAGGGGCAGCAAGGGAAGAGGAAAGCCTTGTTTTTAATCCCCACACCAATAAAATCAGAAGTTGATGTTTATATATCACAGGGTAGTTGTTTTGAAAGAGAAATAAAAGTAAATGAAGACACTTTGGAAAAATGGACTCTCTGGAATGGAACCAAGAACAAGCTCTCAGTGTTGACCTTTTGGTTAAAGCCACATAATACAATTTATGTCATTCTCTCCAGATACATGATTTTATTGGTTTGCTGGGAATTTTGGCTTAAGGGAAATTACACATTGGGGGAATAAAGTGTTTAACTCTTATTACTGCCAAATGCCTGACCCCATAGTGAGGTGTTATAGTGGAAAACAACACAGACTGAGGCCCTCCCCTCTAAGAGTTTACATTCTAGGAGTCCATGATTCCCAAGAGGCATTTTCACATGGTGGTCCTAGCTAAAGACCCTTGATTCATGGCTGTCTTCATTAAGAGCATTTAGGATCAAAATAATGCTTTTTCAGTCTACAAAGTTGTTACCTTTTGCCTCTTATAAATCTTAACACCTGCTGAGTTTGGGGTGCATAAACCATATTGAAGTGCTAAGATACTCTGATGAAAAGAGTTAAATTGATCTCCAGAACCAGAAGTCCATCTGATCATCATTCACTAATTTGTTGGTTGTTGGTAGACATTTCCTGGCTGATATGTTTTAGCTTTTTTGTATATCAAGGTAAAATGGTCTTTTGGTAAGTAAGTGCATTTTTTTTAAATCACAGAGCTAGATGTCACCTTCTGAGCAGATCTTCTCCCTTCTTTTCGATGGAGTGCTCCAGGCTCACTGGCCACTGGATTTCCTTTTTCTCTGTACATTCCCTTACGGCCTTTCCCATTCTCTCAGCGCTGCGAGGCACCTGAGCGCCGGCCGCCCTCACATTCATAGCTCAGTGTGGACTTCTCCTCTGATCTCCAGCCTCCTGCGCTAGCTCCCTCCGTGAACCTCCACTCACATGTGAAAATGCCCATCTGGAATTTAATCTGTCCAAAATGGGGCTCCTGGCCTGTCATCCTCGTCCTCCTGTATCCCACCTGATCGCAGCTCCCTCTTTTCAGCCGCTCAGGCCCAAACCTGAGTCATCCCGGGATCCTCTCTTTCTCTCACACCTGGTGTCCTGCCAGCCCCACCATCAGCAAACAGTCTTTTCTCACCACGTCCGTGTTCAGAACAGGCCGGCACCGACCACGTCTCACGGCTTCAGAGGCCAGCGCCTGAGCAAGCCGCCACTGTCCCATGCCTGCACTCCCGAGGGAGTCCACCAGCTGTCTCGGCTTCCGCGCCCGCGGCTCGTCCGGCTCTTCGCAACCAGCAGCCTGAGTGATCCTGCTCAAATCCGAGTCCCGTGTCCTGACTGCCCGCCCCAGAGCCCTCGGCTGCCTTCCCACCTCAGCACCACAACCCCACTCGGTCTGCTCCCCAGTCTGCTGTCAGCCGGAGACCATCTTCCACTTCTTTCTTCCTGACTGTGGTCACGCGGGCCCTCTTGACGGTGTCCTCCAACACACCAGAGGGGCTTCCACCTCTGCCCTTGTGGGTCCTTCTGCCGGCCCTGTTCTCCCCGCAGATATCTGCGTTGTTCACTCCCTCCCCTCCTTTGGGTTTTTATGCAAATGTCAAGGCCTTCCCTGACCACCTTATTTAAAGTTACCACCCTTCCCTCCACCTCCCACACTCTCTCTCCCCCCCACCCCAGTACTCCCATTCCCCGCCCCTTATGGCTTTATTTTTCTTCCTTTTTACCCCCTAACATGCCATTTATTTTACTGACTCTTTATTGTTTGTTAATGTCTTATTTACTCCCACTAAGTGTAATAATTTCCTCAAGAAGTTTTGACTCTTGGCCATTGCTAAAATCTCTAGCACCTAGAATACTGCCTCATCGATTCCAGATACACATTTGTTGAAGGAATGGATTAATATGTATTTCTTTTTCTGTGGCACATCTTTACCCACATATCTATCAGCATCTTAGAGTTTTTCTTAAAAGATGTGTGGGGTTCTTTAATATGTGAAGAATACCCAACTGTTTATGATATTTCTTGCCAATATTTCACATTTCCTTCCCATTTAATTTAGTTGTACATTTTTTAAACTTTTGTAGGAGCAAAGCTGTTGGTTTCTGTCACCACTGGTCTTCTGTGTGCGGCCCCCTAAGTCAGCAGAGCCGTACTATTCTAGTACGCTCTCGTTGCTCACCTTCTCGCATCTCCCACAGGCATCAACAGGAAGGTGGTGTACTCCCTGGCTGACTCTGCCGACGGGTTCTTCTCCATCGACAGCTCATCGGGCATCATCAGCCTGGAGCAGCCACTGGACCGAGAACAGCGGCCCTCCTACAACATCAGCGTCCAGGCCACTGACCAGAGCCCCGGTCAGGCTCTGTCCTCTCTTGCCACGGTCACCATCACCGTCCTGGACATTAACGACAACCCCCCTGTGTTCGAGAGGAGGGACTACCTGGTGACCGTGCCTGAGGACACCTCCCCGGGCACCCAAGTGCTCACTGTTTTTGCCACCAGCAAAGATATCGGCACGAACGCTGAGATTACGTATCTCATCCGGTCTGGGAATGAACAAGGGCGATTTAGAATCAACCCAAAGACAGGTGCGTACACGGCAACCCACTTAGAACTCACGGCTTCAGTATATCCTGCTTCTCTTAACCATCTAACTGCCCTCTGGGTGGGCTCTTTTTCCTCCTCCTCCCTCCCTCCCACCGGAAGCACATCTTATGGCTGGGCCTGCGTGCCGACCCGAGGGGCCCTTCTGGCACCTGCTTCTGTGGATGCCTCCCTGCCAGGTGTTAAAGCCCCTAGCTGTGGGCTCACTCAGCAAACACTTGACCTCCGGGTGGGCTCCAGGATGTCTCGGAGGAAGGCTCGGGAGCAGCAAGGTGGCTCATAGATGGGGACAGGAAGTAGTATTTGCATACCGAGCATAAGGGTCTCTTTCTTTCCCTGTCTTTTCCATTTTTGCTTGGTTTCATTTTGTGTTGTTTTATCTGGATCATGTGTTTATGTATGTGGAAGTGCTCCTAGACATTAGCATGCACCTGTCCCTGTCCACGCTCAGGCTGCCACTCTCTGGTCACCTACCAAAGCAGACACTGAGAAGTGGTGTGCATGGTGACACATAGGCCTCGTCAGCTCAGCACCCCGGTCGGCTAGAACTGGCACTGTGTTTGGGACCCGTCCACTACTCCCCATCAGAACACTGCCGTGTCTCACCACGCCCTCTGCAAAACTCAGGGACGGTTTGGCGTCACCTAGGGAAAACACGTCTAGAAAGAAATCAAGAGAACAGAAAGAGAACCCTAGGGCTTTCTTTTCATTAGGGAGTTAACTATCGGGGGCACTTTGGGTCATAAAGATGGTGATAAAATAAAGATAGTAATTCAAGAAACAGATTTGGATATTCTTTGAAGAGTAAATATACCTTTCCACTATGTATTTATAGTGTTTGTATTAATGTGTTCAAAGCACTTTCATGGATATTCTCCTTCGTTTACCTATTCCCCTATAAATAGTCATAGTCAAAGGCAGGCCCATTTTTCAGATAAGAAAGATAAGTCTCTCCCACTTCCTGTCCGTTGGACATAATTCCCTCATCACACAAGGAAAATGCACTTGTTGAGCAAGGTGGCAAAAGGAGGTGCATTCTCCTTTGGACAGTTCAGTTAACATGAACAGGAAACTATCATAATTAGCAACATTTACTTGACATGGTGAATATGCCAGATTCCTATTAAATTGTTAGTTATTTCTCTCCTTTTCCATACAAGAAAAACAGAGCTTCATTAAGTAAGTTCTCCAGTGCCCACTGAGAGTCAGTGGGGGATCCAGGATTTGAGCCCAGATCTTCCTGATTCTGGAATACACACTCTCACTTCGTAAGAGCATTGCTCTCTGGGTGGGGGGATGTGCAAAAAAGGGAAGGAGATACAGTCCCCGCCCTTAGGTTTAGGAAGGTGGAAATACTGATGGAAGAATTGCATTAGCAGCTTCTCCCAGCAGTAACTCCATTTATTAAGGTCGTTACTTCGAATTAAAATGTATGGGGTTTCCCTCATTTAAATACATGTTAGACTTGGTCTGTCTAGTTACGGCCATTGTATATGAACACCATGGGGAAATGGTTAAGTGCTGTTTAAATTTGGCACTGGATAACAAGACTGGAATACAAAACAAAACACTAAGGGTGGTAATTGCTAAGAAAACTTAATTATGGGGAGAAAGAGGCTATGGTCATAGGTATGACTTCAGTTTCTCACCTTAAATAGAAGGGCAGCTTTAGCAGCTAGGGAAGGTGCCTGTTGGAGATGGGAATGGATGTGACATACTGACCTTGGTCCTAATGATTGTTTTCCAGTGGGGAGAGAGGTGAATGCCCTTGAGAACTGCACTGCAGGCAGGACGATGACCAGCTTCCAATTGCAGGGTGCAGGATTGGGTCACCTCGCCAGAAAGGGATCGAGTGGGAGGGAGAAGCACTCACAGAGCCCCTCCTAGGGGTGGCACCCAGCCAGGGGCTTTCAACTCTTCTACTTGCTTAACTTAAATCGCGCTGTGACATGGACACCACGTCCTGTAGTCAGGGACACTCAACTCATACGTTCTATTTGACCACTAATCCCAGGTATTTCCTTTTCATTAGGTCACTGTACCTTCAGCTGTCTGAGCTCTTTGCCCTCTTTGTGCTGTAATAGTTTTAGATAAGCACATTATAACTTGGCAAGGCACGTAAGTGGTTAATTGAAATCAGCGAAGTCTGCAGGTATTGACTTGCCGACGGGGAGGTGGGGTCATGCAATCACATCCCCACATCTTAGCTCATTCTCTGTCTGCCTGGGTCCAATTAAGGGATCATCGGGAGACACTTATCATGGAAGCTTGTTTCTGTCCCTTCTCCCTAGCAGCATATGGGCGAATGATGCCAGAGAGTTTCGGGTTGCTTGAGAGAAATCCAGAAACTGTTGTAGAAAACAGGCAAAGACTTTATTTCTCCAGTGTTGCTGTGTTTTAACTGACAGCATTAATCAGACTCTGAGATGCTTTCTGCGGGGCATTAAATAAACAGATTCCTAAATATCTACAATTCTTGGCTGGAGATGATGTTATAAATATTTCCATGATTATGGAACTGCTGACCAGTGTTTTTTTTTCCTAATCAAATCTAAAACTTCTAAAACTTCCCATTTTTCTTCAAAGGGGGTATTTCTGTCTCTGAGGTCCTGGACTATGAATTATGCAAAAAGTTTTTCCTGGTGGTGGAAGCCAAAGACGGGGGCACACCCACTCTCAGTGCCGTGACTACCGTCAGCATCAACCTCACCGATGTGAACGACAACCCGCCCAGGTTCAGCCAGGACGTCTACAGTGCTGTCATCAGTGAAGATGCCTTGGTCGGAGACTCTGTCATCTTGGTAGGTGCCAGTGGGAGGTCCAGATGTCTGGGACTCATAATCCTAAATAGAGTGAAAAAGTGAGCAAAATCTATCCTGGATTCTCGTCACACTTTCTCTTTTCAGGGTCTTTTTGTCCCCAAGAACGCTAGTCAGTCACCAATCTTTCAACTGTTCCTTCTTTTGTACATTGGAAGCGTCTGATAAATTCATTTATTGCAAGGTGTAAGTGACCAATAATTACTTTCTTCCTTGGAGTGTATGTTTTTCAAGAAAACAAAACAGACCATGGAATACATTTCTAATGATAGCTCTCACCAGTTTCTGACCTTAGATAATAAGTTACTAGGTGGCTAAGGATAAAATAAATCCGCCCCACCCACCCTCTGCACATGCACACACACACACACACACACACACACAGACACATGCATGCACGCACGCACAGAGAGTAGGACAGCTATGCCCATTTGTAAGACCTGGGACCCTAAGAATAAACCTTTTCTCTGTCTCTTATGTCATGTCTGTCTCTTTTTTTTTTGCTTGTGTCCCATGAAGCTAGTAGCAGAAGATGCAGATAGCCAGCCCAATGGACAGATTCGTTTTTCCATTGTGAATGGAGATCGGGACAATGAATTTGCTGTGGAGCCTGTCCTAGGACTTGTAAAGGTTAAGAAGAAGTTAGACCGGGAACGGGTAAGCTAGTTTGGGCCAGTTCCCCTGCTGTCGACACCAGTCCCTTCACTGGAATTGAGCACAGGCTCCCTGAGTAAAAGTAGGAAGATTCTCCATTCCAAATAACGATAGTAAATAGGATGGGCTGAAATACAGCATGACATATTTGGGTTAAGCCTTAGAAAGAATTTTCTGCCAATAGATACTGGCAGTTTCTTATTTATGGGTGTTTTAAAGAAAGAGCAAAGATGTGTCTTTCTGGATGCTTTGAATTTCAGTCCTTCCTAAAGCGAGGAGGCAGGAAAGTACCTTCAGCACTGGCATCCTGTGGTCCTGGTCTCATTGGCAGCTTTAGGCCTAGATGTGCAGATACAAAAGGATCATTTGAAGGTATTTAGGTCAGAAAGAATGATCCAGAAAACTCCTCCTCTGCCAAGGTTAAACTAAGTTTCTAAACATTGTGTGTTTTGACTAAAAATATATGTCTTCAGAGTGAAATTCAATATGGGAAAAAATGTCACAGTAGTGGTGCTGAAAAGCAGAAACACCTCCCCAGGTGGTATATCCCCGTACCTCCCGAAGGATCAGAACAGAGAAATAAGGTCAGGGCGACAGCTGCTGTGTTTGAACAAAGGCCGAGAGCTGTGGTGCTAACCAGGGGTGGTTTTGCCCCTCCAGGGGACCCTTGGCAATGTTTGGGGACAGTTTTGGTTGTCCCAAATGGGCAGAAAATGACATTGGCTTCTAGTGGGTAGAGACCAGGTGTGCCGCCAAACATCCTACAGGGCACAAGTCAGCCCCGGCAGCCAAGAATTACCTCAGGCCCACATGTCAGGGGTGCCGAGGTTGGGAAACCCCAATCTAGAGAACCAAGAGTGAAGGTGGCTGATCTTCAGCAGAGCACAGCCAAGCTTCAGCACCTCTGAGTGTGGGCAGCGGCAGGGAAAGGCTGCCCTTCGTTACTGTCAGCCCTCTGTACTTTGGCAGGTGTCTGGATACTCCCTGCTGGTCCAGGCAGTAGACAGCGGCATTCCTGCGATGTCGTCGACGGCCACTGTCAACATTGACATTTCGGACGTGAACGACAACAGCCCAGTCTTTACGCCTGCTAACTATACCGCTGTGATCCAGGTGAGCAAAACTCGCCCGCCAGCACTGGGCCTTACGCACTCAGCCTTCTTCCTCTGCTGTGGTTTACTCATCACTTTTTCATTTTTTTTTTTTTTTCCTGTCAACTCATCCTGTCATGAGGCTGGGATGACAAGAGCCTGACTCTTCCACAGCAGCAGCTGACTGATAACCACTGATGAGCACTGTTGCCAGTGGGGTTCTTTCAAGCGCCGGGCACTTTGCATGCACCGCCTGTCCCCACCACAGCCCAGTGAAGTGGGAGGGTGAGGCAGCCCCCACTTTACAGTGAGGGAGCCAAGGGCCTGAGGGGTTCAGTAGCTCACCCACGATCCTGCAGCTGGTAAGTGGCAGAGTGAGGATTTGAACTCAGGTCAGTCTTCTGCAGAAACCGCCCTCTTTTTACCCCAGCGGCAGGCTGCCTTTCTGCCACTCCGTGCTGTCCCAGCATCAGTGGGGGGGGATTGCTCCAAATCGTCTCCTCTGTCCAAGACAGATTAGGCATCAGGAAAGGGCTGTTACGCATTAAAATCAATCTTCCAGAAGCAATTTGTTTAGCACTTTAAATCCACCTGCAGGATGGAGTAGCTTATGGCTGGTAGTCAGCTCTCGGTGGGGCATGACTCTTCTTCCCATCCATTTTTTATTCAAAAGATGTCTCATGAGCTCGGTGCTAGTGGGGGAGCTACCTCTTCTTCCCAACTCCAGGAAGGTCAGGGAATCCAGTCCAGGAATGCTGTGGGCATGGAAGAGCTAGAGGCAACAGGGATTGATACATGTGTTGTGAGGGGCCTCAGAGAGTCCCGAGCACCAGCTCTTGCCTGATCCGGTTTGGCCTCAGAATCGCCTCCCACGGGGTCTGCAGGCTTTGTGGGTAGAAGGAGAGATGAGAGTGAGCCAGGGCTTGAGGGACTTCTTTGGAATAACATCAGGACTCTGAGTCTGGCCGTCCACAGCCGGCTCCCCGCCTCCACCGCTGAGGTGTCCAGGAGTCAGGCCGAGAGAGGAGGCATGCTCCGAGAGCAGGCAGCCCCTCTGCTTCTCGCCTCCCACTTAGCGAAATCGGATTCCTTCCCCAGTGGTATTTCGGTCTTCTTCTCCTCTCTGATGCTCTTTCCAGCAGTCCTGCCTTCTTCTCCCTCTCTGGCTTCCACCAAGCTTCCACCCACCCCCAACCCCCGCCCCCGCCCCGGGGTCTGCCCCTTCCTGCATTTTCCTTTCTCTAAGATCGCTGTCCTCCTGGTCCGCCTCCCACGGTGGCACTGTCCGCCTTGCCCAGCCTCTGCACGCTCGCCCCAAAACAAAATGGGCTTTGCCTACTCAACATTCAGGTTTATGACACACATCGATCAGCTTGACAGACTGTTTCACATGCACCACAGGAAGTCAGCAGTGAAAGAAACAATTGCAGCCATGAGCAGTGACCGTGGCTCATATCAGCGCCGGGGCCTGTCTACGCTGTCTCTCTCTCTCGCTTCCTTCTCGGATGCTGACCCCTGGGGCACACATTCTCTCTCTCCCTCTCTCTCTCTCCAGTGCAGGAAATGGCCTTTATAAAGTGAGCAAGCAAATCAATAAATCTTCTATTTTGTGTGGTGCTGAGTGTGTGGTCACTGTGAAATAGTAAATCTGCGCTGGGCTGAGGGGTGCTGTGGCTGACAGCAGGGGGAAACGGTGTCTGGTCCTTGATGACCAAAAGGCCAGTTGAGAGAAGGAGCAAAATCACAGGTCTTTGAGGTCCTTTTCTCTTTCTCCTTCAAGGAGCGTTCCTCCCTTTTTCCAACCCAGGATGATTTCCTTATTCCAACACATGGTTTTCATAAGACGAATTCGGCGCTTAGAACTTGAGTGTGCCTGCCCCGTGCGTGCCTCCCGTCCACACGCACTGTATCGTGGTCTCCATCTCTGTGACCGTAACTTATTTAATGCTGAATCGATGTCATCAGCAGGCCTGACTAATGAAACTGACTTCAGGCCCAAGCTGTGGTCTTGCTGAAGTCTAAACAGAGGGGGGCAAGAAAACCAATTTGCCTGAGCTACAGAGAAATTTAATTTGGCGTTATCAGAGTGAGGAGAACCTTCGACCCAAGGAGGAGTGACAAAGAACCTTTGTGTTGCTATTTTGGGGAAAAGGCAGAGAGGTTCTGCAAAATAATGCTTGAATGATAACATCAGGGTTTCCAAAAATTCTGATGACTTTAAGGATTTTCATTCTCTCCATTCTCAGTTTGGGAAACAGTCCACCCCCTTTCCCTTTCCTCCAGAAACACGGCAAAACTGTGTTCTGAGGGGTGAGGTGTAAAGGCCCATTTTCCACCTGGCATATGCCTTTGTGTACTTCCTGGGAAGTTGCCAGGATGTCTCCCCACCTTCACCCCAGAAAGTTCCATGTTGTGACACTGTGTCACAGCGTTGGGCCTCAGTGTGGTCGTGGTGTGAGGGGTGTGACGAAGTGCCTTCCCATCCCGAAAGGGTGATGTTTTCTTGGCCAGAGAGGGTTTCCGACCTACTCACAAAAGGCTGGTGAGAGCCATTTAGGTGAACTCAGGGCCTTTCCATCCTGTGAAGGACAAGGTGGAGCCGGCGCCGCCTGGGAGGCCCTCCTGTGCTCACCTGCAGCTCACGGTCTCACGGGGCGGTTGTGGGGAGGCCGCCAAGGACGCAGAGCATGACGCCTGTGGACGCCACCGTACTGTCAGAAGACAAGATAATACCACAGGGAACCCCTTCTGCTGAATGCCCTGTTTTCTAGCCGTAATGATGGGGTTTTTTTCAATGTGAAGAGAGGTGTAATTTTATCTTCCGTTTTAATATCCTCTTGCATGCAGGAAAACAAGCCAGTAGGCACCAGCATCTTGCAGCTGGTGGTGACAGACAGAGACTCCTTCCACAATGGGCCTCCTTTCTCCTTCTCAATTTTGTCGGGAAACGAAGAGGAGGAGTTCGTCTTGGACCTGCATGGGATCCTGCGGTCCGCCGTGGTCTTCAGGCACACGGAGTCCCCGGAGTACGTGCTGTGTGTCCAGGTACGGCCCCGTCCTCTGGCCGCGTCAGGCCACCTTTCCCTTGTGCTGGTTTCTGCGCCCGTTGGATGGGTTTTCTTTGGTGAGCGAGTCAACATAATTCATTACTGTGCAGGCATGTTCCCCTTTTAATCTCAATTTCAATTTCACACCAATAAAAGCGGCCTCTTTGTGTGAAATTGAACAGGAAGGAAGGAAGCGTCATTGTTCAGAAGGGACATTCCCGTAGAGTGTCAGGCAGACACTCGCTGGGCCGAAATCTGCATTCTCCGAATTCCTGGGCTTCTACCTGACCCTCAGAGACAGCTCAGTGGTCAAGGCTTGCTGCGCTATACCGAATAGAAGTTGCCACATTTCTCTACCTATCAGAGCTACCGATCTTTGTCCTAATGTGATTGAGGCGTATCGTGGGCTCTGCTTCTGAAGAGACCTTAGTTTGGTGAGTTGACCCAGGGAGGGAGGAGGGGGCCAAGCCCTCGGATGGCCATGGCCTCCCAACATCTCAGCTTCCCCAAGAGCAGTGGCCTGTGTAAAATGAAATAGGACAAAGAGGCAAAAGTGGCAGCTGTGGGAAGAGTGTGGCTAGGAGTAAGAAGTGAGTCCCCAGGAATTAATTTTGCCCGTACCAAGATTTGGTTCCCATCTGTGAAACCAAGTGACTTTTTTTTACTCACAGTTGCCACAGAGGGCAACCCAAGTCATTATTAATGGTAGAAATAATAACAATAATAATTATTTATATTTGGGTAGCATTTCACTGGGTTCATTACTTCTTTGGGTAAGTTATGGCTTACTCTGCTCCAAGAAACCTTCCAGATTAATGACTTTTTGCTCTGAGCATGTCAGTGAACGCTCCAGTTGCCTCCCACTCCTCCAACAATACTATGTAAATAATTTTATATCACAGTATAGGTACAAAGAGCAAGGAGAGATGTTTAGTGCTTTCCCACAGAAGCTAGTATGGTTCCTTGCCTGCCCCCTCATCCCTCCATCCTCAGACACCTCCCCTGGGGACCCAGTCCATGGGAATCTGCCCATCTCGGAAGCTCTATGGCATGGCCTACCACCGTGTGGCCCGTGGGGTAGAGAGTAGATTCTGCATCTCAGACTTTGGGAACACCACAGAGAGCTTTCTCGTCCTCGTCCCTAAAGTTAAACTACCACCAAGTGCTGAGTTTCTGCCTTCATAAGGTCCCCGCGTGCATCAGTTACATTTCCTTTGTGCTTTCCCCACTTTATCCTGTACCGCCCCGTACGCTCACTGTTGCAGGAGCCCCCTAGGTGACTCCTCTGGCCTCAGCCTCATTCTTTTCTGATACATCCCTCCGCCCCTCCCAGGTTAATCTTTCCACTTTGGTTATGTCAGTCCCCTAAACCAGGGGTCGATCAGCTACAGCCCCAGGACCACATCTTGGCCTCAGCCTGTTTTTATACATGAAATTTTACTGGAATGTAGCCTTACCCATTTGTTTACATATGCTCTGGCTGCTTCCACACTGGAAACATAGTTGATTAGTTGATAGAGATCATATAACCCCAAAGCCTAAAACGATTTCTTATCTAGCCCTTTACAGAATAGATGTGCCAACTCCTGCCCTGAGCTAAAGCCTCTGTGGCTCCCCAGTGCCTGAAAACTTGGGGTCTGCAGGCTGAACTCCAGGCCCATACTCTCCGATTTTGAATCTTGGAGTCCTTCGGCAGACATGGTTCTCCAGTCCCACTCAGTCCACAGGCCCACTAATCTGTCACCTCACACCCAGCAGCTTCACACCTTTCTGTCACCTCTCTGCTCTCTGATGTTTGAGTGAGCAACCTCTGGCCTATGAAGTCCACACTCATCACTGTCCTTCAAGGCCCTCCACAGTTTGACTTCAAGGTCAACCTCATTTGCTAAACTTCCCTCCTCCTACATGGCTTTTCCCTGTCAGCATCTCTGCCTCCCATAGTTGATCACATTAACTCTGATGTACTAAGTACTTCCGGGGTCAGACCTGTGCCAAGCACTTTGCCATCACCGTGTCTTTTAATCCCCACAATACCAGAATCCTGTGAAGGAGGTACTACTCGTATACGCAGATGAAAGGTACAAAAATCGAAGTTCCGAAATGTTTAGTCACTTCCTCGAGGCCAGAGTTGAGATTCAAACTCAGGTCTGTGATGCCCAGGTCCCTGCTTTTACACTGGCTTCCACCTATGAGGACATATCTCCTCCGCCCCCATCTGACCTGCAGAGTCCACCTCGGCCCTCCATCCTCAGATACCTCCCCTGGGGACCCAGTCCGTGGGAATCTGAATCTGCCCATCTCGGAAGCTCTATGGCACGTCCTACCACCATGTGGCCCATGGCAGGTGTTCAGCAAACATCTGCTGTCAGGGTGGTTCTTCTATCAATTTTTTTTTTTTTTTAAGATTTTATTTATTTATTTGAGAGAGAGAGCAGAGCGAGAGAATGAACACATGAGCAGGGAGGAAGGGCAGAGGGAGAGGGAGAAGCAGGCCCCCTCTTGAGCAGGGAACCTGACACAGGGCTTGATCCCAGGACCCTGGGATCATGACCTGAGCGGAAGGCAGACGCTTAACCGACTGAGCCACCGAGGCGCCCCTATCAATTCTTATATATAGAAGGAAGACAAAGTTTTTCTCAGGCTATCTATTTTTCCCTTTTCTGCCTCCCATTTTTTTAATTCTAAACCTTCATATTGTATAATTCACAGCTCATGGTATTTCTTGAATGTACAGAAAGGTGTTCCCTGGCCCAATCCAAAGGAAAGAATGCAAAGAGGGCAAAGATTACTCCTCCGAATGAGAACGCCACTTTATGCATGACGTTCCCCGGTGGCTTCTGTTCAAGAAGAAAACCAGGCCAGCGTGTTGCAGGCATATCAGATCTCACAGCACCCTCTGTCCCCCTTCCTGTTCACCCCCAACGGCTAGATTGTGCGGACACATTTTATCATCCATAACCGAGTGTACACGTGGGGACCACAGGTGATAAATCACTCCTCTGCCTGCATTGCACATCTTCGGCATTTCGCCGAACAGGAGCAGGGGATGGAGGAAGAAGCAAACGCGGGTAAAGGAATAAACGTCTCCTCTCTGAGTTTTGTTGGTTTTTAAATGATTCTGCTTTTTCTGAGTTCCTTGCTTTTCTCCCTCTTGGTTGTTTAGGCAAAAGACTCGGGCAAACCCCAGCAGGTCTCTCACTCCTACATCCACGTGCGGGTCATCGAGGAAAGTATCCACAAGCCCACGGCCATCCCCCTGGAGATTTACATTGTCACCATGGAGGACGATTTTCCCGGGGGGGTCATTGGGAAGATCCATGCCACAGATCAAGACATGTATGACGTGCTCACGTTTGCCCTGAAATCGGAGCAGAAAAGCTTGTTCAAAGTGAACAGTCATGACGGGAAGATCATCGCCCTGGGGGGCCTGGACAGCGGCAAGTACGTGCTGAACGTGTCCGTGAGCGATGGCCGCTTCCAGGTGCCCATCGATGTGGTCGTGCACGTGGAGCAGCTGGTGCATGAGATGCTGCAGAACACCGTCACCATCCGCTTTGAGAACGTGTCCCCTGAGGACTTCGTGGGGCTGCACATGCATGGCTTCCGGCGCACCCTGCGCAACGCTGTGCTCACCCAGAAGCAGGACACCCTGCGCATCATCAGCATCCAGCCCGTGGCGGGGACCAACCAGCTGGACATGCTGTTTGCCGTGGAAATGCACAGCAGTGAGTTCTACAAGCCAGCCTACCTGATCCAGAAGCTGTCCAATGCCAGGAGACATCTGGAGAACGTCATGCGCATCTCAGCCATCCTGGAGAAAAACTGCTCGGGGCTGGACTGTCAGGAGCAGCACTGCGAGCAGGGCTTGTCCCTGGATTCCCATGCACTCCTGACCTACAGCACAGCGCGCATCAGCTTCGTGTGCCCGCGTTTCTACAGGAACGTGCGCTGCACCTGTAACGGTGAGTCTGCGTTTATTAGGCACAACCCAAAGAGGAATGTGAATCCCCACTGCTGGGGGTTCAAAATATACTGCGTTTGGACCACTCAAAAACCAGTTTCTATAGGAATGAATAATCACTCAGAAGTTCTCCAGACAGACAGGAGCTGACACATTGTTTTGTCACTTTTCATGGTTACCAGTCATTCCAAAGAAAAAGACATATAGCTACATTAGCAATAGGGAAGGTGAAGAGATATACAAAGTATGTTTCCAGTGATGTGTATGGCAAATAAAAATAATTTGGAAGAAACATGATTAAAAAATGCTTTTTGGAATTTCAGAATCCTTTCTTCCTGTACTGCATCCTTTCCTTCTGCTTAATCCACTTCAATTTATGGTTTTCTGAGGGTAGATGGGTAGACTGCAGGGGCTGTGGCGCGAATCTTGCCCCAAGACTAGCTATAAGATAAGAAAACAAACTGAGCTGGAGTCAGAATGCTCAGCTTATAATCCTGCAGGGTTTATACTTAAACAGCTTTGTGGGGCACCTGGGTGGCTCAGTCGTTAAATGTCTGCCTTCGGCTCAGGTCGTGGTGGGTCCTGGGACCCTGTAACGGTGAGTCTGGTTTGGAGTTCCCTCACGCCGCCCATGATCTGAGTAGACCAGGCCGCCGTTCCTGATAAGCATGCATTCGTTCATTCGCTCATTCAGCAAAATGTTTACTGACCACCCAGGATGGGCCAAGCTACCATAAGAGATGCCGGGCCAGGGGTAAGCAAGACAAGGTGAGCCCCTCTTCCCGTGGAGCGTACAGCTCACTGAGCAGCACAGACCAGCAGGCTAGCAGGAGCCCATGCATTAAGTATTGCTAGGGGAAGTACAAAATCCCGCAGGAGGACCCATCAAGACGGAAGGTCTCCTGACGGGTTGGGATAAAGGATAAGTAGGAATCAGACGCATGGGAACAGGTAGGGGAGGAAGAACATTCCAGGCCAGAGGGCAGCTTGTATGAGGAAGGTCCAGAGTAGGAGAGAAGCCCACACCAGGGGAGTGGCAGAGATTTCTGTCACTGAAAGGGGGGGGCAGGTGCATGATAACAGATGAGACCTGTGAGCAGGCCCAGGGTTCACACAAGGGCCATTAACCAGGATGAAAATCGTAGAAATTGTCCCAAGGCAGGAGGAGCCGTGGTGGGCTGATGTGAAGTGAAGAAGTGACAGAATCAGCTCTGTCTTTCACAAAGAGTGTGTGCTGGCTGCAGAAGGGAACGGATTAGCTGGGGCCAGGCCAGAGGCAGGCCAACAAGTTAGGAAGCTACTGCTGAGGGTAAGGGCAGCTCGATTTGCTTCAGTGAAAAACGGGCCACTCGGAGGGATTCAGCCCTCAGAGCAGAGGAGATGGAATGGCTCAAGTCTGTTGATGTAACAAGAGTCCCTGAACCTTGACCTTTCCTGGTCAGAGGCCATAGCTGTCCAGAGTCCCATGCCCACGGTGGTCAGTGAGAAGTATTGCTCTCTGCCTTTTTTCCTCTCTGACACATGGAGCCATAAATTCACTGCCCTCTTCCAAGAAAATTGCTCCCGGAGTTTTTCTAACCAGCGTGAACTTGGCCCAAAGGGACTGTGGCCAGAAGAGAGGCCATTTGTAAAACATCCCTTTAGGTAATTGGGGACAGGAAGGGCCCCTGACCTCTTTCCCTTACAGAAAGTTCTTGGTTGCAGCTTGGAAAATAAGCTCATCAGAGCAGGGCTCCTGAGATCACAGTTTCCTCCCACCCAGGGACCTTTTGACCTCCTTTGAGAAGCCTAGGAAGTGATGGCCACTCACCCTGCTGTACCAGTGAATTCTGTGTTTTCATCAGGTAGATGCAGTGGTGTCTGACCTGCTGAATATGTAAATTAGCTCCAAAGTAACTCAAAGCATGCAAGCTAGATGCGATGCTTTTCTGACAGATGCCACCAGCATGCAGGATTTATGAGTGCCTGCTGTCTGAGCTTTACCTAGATCTCCTTTGTGGGCAAACTGATTTATGCACCAAAGCTCAGCTAGAGCCTTCCTGCAGTGACTCACAGCGGGGTTCAAAAGAGGTTCACTACAGGACAGGGCAGACCCTGCAGGAGAAACTAAACCAGCTAATTAGTCCCTGTGCTCTGAGAACTCATTTCAATCAGCAGACCTCTGTGGTAGCAGCAATGTGCTAGGCGCTAAAGCTTCAATGTGGAAAAGACACCGCCCGCCCCTGCCCTTAGGAGCTGGTTATTATGAGGTCAGCTTGTAAGTGCCTATTTACAATAACAAGGTTATAATAAATGTTAGGGAAGAGAAAGGACAGGATCCCGATATGGCCAGAGGGAGGCTTTCTGTGACATTTCTATACCACAGACCATCTGTGTCCTGGGTCTTGAGGGATGAGTACGAGTTCATCAGGAAGAGTCAGAGGAGGGCTGACTTGGCAGAATTTCTCAAAAGAAGGAAATCAGAGAGGTGATTTTTGTTGGAGAGAGGGAGGCGTTTCATGAGACACTAATATTTTAAATGCAGTGAGTTTCGAGTTGGGGTCCCTGCCCAGGACTCCTGTTCTCTGGTCCCCATAAACCTTTTTATTCCCAGTAAACCCAGGATGCTGAAAGCTTTTATTTATTTATTTATTTATTTATTTATTTGAGAGAGAGAGAGAGAGCAGAAGCAGGGAGAGCGGCAGAGGGAGAAGCAGACTCCCTGCTGAGCAAGGAGCCCGATGTGGGACTCCATCCCAGGACCCTGAGATCATGACCTGAGCCGAAGGCAGACGCTTGACTGACTGAGCCACCCAGGTGCCCCTGCCAGAAGCTTTTATGATTCAACCCCCAGACATCCCACAAAGAGGCCTTCTTGGTTTGAAAAGTGAACAATTCCTCAAAGAAGGCTGCATGTGTAGATTCAGGCTCATCTTGGAGCTTCTTCTCACCTCCAAGCCACTCTTATAATTAAGCTGTAAAACGAAATACTGGATTTTAGTAGTAGAAAGACTTGGAAAGGTCATCTGGCCCAGTCCCATCTTCAGCAGGGGATGTACGACCATCTCCATTTGATGAATGTGGTAGCTCCGTGCCCTGCCCAGGGCTGTGTGGCTTGTGAGGGTGGCACGCGGATTTCAATTCAGGCTCTTCTTGGGCCCCTCTTTTATTATCTGCATCTTAAGAATAGGGGCTTTTCCATTTCTTATGTGAATCACGACCCCAGTGCTATATGTAGGCATACTCAGATAGCCCCATTTTCTCCAGCAGACTGCTGACCAGCGTCACAGTACCATCACAGGACAGCCGAGGGGCTCCCAGACGCCAGCATGCATGCATGGGGCTTACCAGAAATGCCCACAGCCAGCCCCACATGCAAATATAATGGTAAGATTCAGGTGAAGCTTAGGAGTCTATATACGTAGCCCTGGGTGATTCTAATGCTGGTAGTCCAGGAAAACAAACTTGGAGAAATCCCACAGCAAGATAAAATAGGAAAGATTTCCTGCAAGTTCAGGGGCAAGCTCTTAGTTAGAAATAGAAATAGCTCTCACTTCTTTTCAAGCATCCTCTAATGAAAATACAGTGAGGAACTGTTAAGGAAAGCAGTAGGCATTTTAGGCATTTTCTCATTTATTGGACAGAGAGGTAATTGAATTCAGTAATTGCCCCCCTTAAAACACACGCACACGTGTGTGTGCACACACATGCACAACTAGTATTGACTGCGCCTCGGTTTGCCCTGGGAGCTTGGCAGATACAATAAATGGACTTTTCCACCACTTGGTGGAATAATTATGATGATAAATAGAGGTAGCTGCCTATTCTGGACTGTGTAGCAATATTTATACAGATCTGGCCTTGATATGCTCCTCCCCACTTCCAGCTCCTCTTTCTCTCCTGCACAGTTTTTTGGGTCCAATTAACAAAATTAGCATCTTGAACCAAAATGCTGAGTTGCTTTGACAAAATGGAAGCAGACTTGAATTTTAGTGCCAAATAGGCTCATTAAATTCCAGCCACCATCGAGCATCATGTTTGAACTGAACTTCAAGAGATACAAAGTTCTGATGTCACGACATGACTCTTGGTAAACTTCACAAGTTTAGTGAACTTCAGCACTTCAGAAGAAAGCCTCACGCCAATTTAAATGAACAGGGAATGAAGGGTGCCCTGTGGGCTGTCCTTGATGCTCTGTCCTCTTGCTGTCCCACTGGGCCGTGCTGATTATCCCTTTTGTAAAAATGTCTTTGACTTTTCAAAAGTCCAATATAGGGGCGCCTGGGGGGCTCAGTCGTTAAGCATCTGCCTTCAGCTCAGGTCATGATCCCGGGGGTCCAGGGATCAAGTCCTGCATTGGGCTCCTTGCTAAGCGGGAAGCCTGCTTCTCCCTCTGCCGGCCACTCCCTCTGCTTGTGTTCCCTCTCGCCCTCTCTCTCTCTGACAGAAAATTAAAGTCTTTAAAAAAGAAAAAACAAAAAACCAAAGTCTGTCATAAAAATCTATCAAAAAAAGAGCCCGTTGTCCAGGAGCATGGACTCCTTAGGAGGCCATCAGAGGTTAAGCCCAGGGTGTTGATGGCGGTGACAGAGCTGAAGGGAGCATCGGCCGTGGGGGGCGCAGCGTGGGGGCCAGGCAGAGTGTGAGCAACAGCTGGCCCGCCCTCAACCATGGCCTACGGCGCTGTCACCAGAGTTCGCTCGGGGAATGGCGAGCAACACTGCAGCACATCACTGAGGGCGATGCCCACTGAGCTAGCTCTGAAAGGGTGCCTAGAATCCGGCACGTGCTCTAGGCCGAGGAGCACGAGAGCGAAGGCCTGCAGCGGAGAAGCAGGGACAGGCTTAACGATGAACATTTACTGAGCGGTGACCAGTGACTGCGCTGTTTGTCCAACATACATAATTGCATTTAACCCTTCTAATAACCATAAAGACAGGGTATCATGAACCTTCCTCAGAAGTTAAGGAGACTCAGACTTGGGAAGCTCAGCGGACTTGTTCAAAGTCGCAGAGCTATGCAAATGGCCGGCGCCATGATTCCCAGCGGGCAGCCTCAAGCATGGTGCCCTACTACTTCCACACCCATGTGAAAGCACCTTCAAAGTTTCCAGTCTAACCTCCCACCCACGATAGACATCCCATTAACTACATTCCTGGCACAGTAATTCAGCTGGCCTCACAACCTCCCAAGATGGACCAAGACAACCTTCTCCCTTCTAGTGCCCCAAAATCCACCTCCTTGTAACGTCACCCAGCTCGTCCATTAGAGCCACCCAGAACCTGACCCAACTCCTCCTCT